TAACACATTAAAAGATCTTCCGGGATGCCGTCACGTCTGACTTAAATGCCTGAGCTCTCCGATTAGCACAGGGAAGGTTAAACGGGGCTCAAGGAATATGATTTTATATAAGGATTACGAGTTTATGTAACTTGCGCTGTTAGCGTTCTGATAACATGAAAAAGTGCTGATGACTCATACTGAACTCACACTGAATTCAGTTGCATTACTAGCTGAGTAGTAGCTAATTTGGGTCAATTCATGTCCAGGCAAACCAATACAACTCCTTCTGTTAATGGACCCTAGGATTTAATTGGACAAATGAAAGCAGGGCTGTGAGGGATAGACATCTACAGTACAGACAGATATTGATTTCAGTCAACCTGGCAAAAGAGTCATCTTTTCAACAAAAGAAATATACTGCAGACAACATCAGTTAAAGATGAACAAAGACTAAGGCTGGGCGATTCATCAAAAGGTAATCGAAATCGACATTTGTCACCTAAAATCGATCAAATTTTTCTAGGCTGATTTTTTTTCAATTACTTTTCCGACTGCATGTGGAGTCACGTGACCCCACTCTGTTAAAAATTAAGATTTATACTTCTGCTTTGAGCGTACGCGAAATGTCCAGAACAGCCTTCACATGCTCGTATACCTGCACACCTTTTAAAAAAATTAGCTACTTGTTGTGACGACATGTAGTGCAGGCTTTGTGATTGGTCAGTGTAGTAGCGGTGTATTCGTGCCATCGGAAATGAATTCGGGTGGCGCGAATTAATTTCAATTGTTCAGCGTTGATGTTCAATAATAATCATAGATTGTAGATAGTGTGTGTTTCCTTCAATTATTTTAAAACAATGCACCCTTCATTTAAAAATCTTTCACTTGTAATATGTAAACATATGTACTGTACAAAACTTAATTTAAATAAAAAAAATCGTTCATAAATCGCAATCAAGTTAAAATGTTCAATTAATCGAAATTTTGATTTTGGGCCAAATCGCCCAGCCCCACCAAAGACATTTTTATTTGCGCTAAACTATACGGTTTAATACCACACTTAGTACCACCCAATTAGATGGCATCATCTTTTGTTTGCACATCGTTTTAGTCAGAACTAAAGTCTTGAAGGAGGATAGAGTGAGGCCGATCTAATGAGATTAACCTCTCGACAAAACTATTACAGTGTGTCACAGGGGTAGTTGATGGTCCTGGATGAGGGAATGGTGTTAGAGCAGAGTCTGGTCTCCAGGTTGGGTGAGATTACAGCCTTAACAACTTGTAGGTTGATATTTTGTCAGTTGCAGCATGTTCAAGCTAACCCACCCCACCTCAGTTTACCATCAGTTGTCTGTCTTTTGGAGCCGGGCCAGAGCGTAATCCAGTTAGGAGCAGCAGATTTGGGCCGTTTTATCTACTGTGCTGGGTTAACTCCTGGGATGCGTCTGGTCTTTGGTCCTCTCTTCCAAGCCCTCAACAGATGGGGCCTTGTCTTGCAAGCACTCTCTCTAGTAGAGCCATGGCAAGGAGCCAGCACCAATGCAGCTTATTTAACAGTGCCACTACATGGCCCAACTGCATCCTGGGTACGACCTTGTTACCGTAGAGAGAAAGTGGCCATGATAGAAAGGTCAGAAACTCAGTTCTCCTTATCAAACTACTATATTGATATTTCAGACTGGCTTTTGTCAAGAAGGTTTAGGGTGGATGACAAGTCAGTATTTATTAGATTTATATTGCAGAAGTGCTTTAATGTTGCAGTGAAATTCAATTAGCAACACATCTTTTATTCTGTATTGTGACACATTCGAGTGCATTGGAATACAGAAAAAAGAGGGAATCAAGAGGGGTTTGGTTCATCTGTTGTTGATTGGATTTCTCCTGCATATGTCACCAGTCCTGCATCGTTATCAATAAAAGTAAATGAAGTATACATGGAATCATTGTGTACAGTATGATCTCTAAATTTATGCAAATATTCAATGCATCATTGCTTCTGATTTGAAATGGTAGCCTTTTGGAGTGTGGCATCAAAGCAACTAATTTTATTAAACCTGTTTTTCGCTTGCTTTAAACAAAGTCTGATTTGTATTGGTGGCTTTATAGTCATATGTTTGAAAATGATTGCTAGGGGTGTCCTGATCAGTCCAAGTCAATTGATTTTGATTATCTACCTATCACCTACCGAAATCCAATCTGATCCTTCTATAATACATAAAGAATGAAGAAGTGCGAAGAAACAGATCCAGGATGTTCCTTATTGTTTATTTAATTCACCTTATTTTAACATTCAACAACTCTGTAAACAAACAGAGAACCTCTGTGAGATAGCTTCAACAATCAAGTAATAAAAAGCAGAAATTCTTCACCTCCTGCAATCCCAAGTTTACATATCTTACAGTTTGCTGTGGCAATGTTGTCTTCATCAACTTTATAATACCTCCAGATTGCAGACATAATCGGGTTGTTGATAGATCAGACACGGTTGTGGCTGGAATTTAACGAGAATTATTTATAATATTTATTAAATTTCCCATTTATTGTATTTTATTAACATCTTCCCCAACCCTAAACCCAACCATCACAGTAATGTAAAAGCAGTAGCTGTACCGAGTATTATTTATGTTATTTATTAAGTAACCCAATAAATTGTATTTTATTAATATCCACCCTAACCCTAAACCCAACTATCACAGTACAGTATGAATATGAATTGTTATACAGAGTCACAAAAATGATGCTATGTTGATCTGCATATCCACAGCTTTATCCTATCTAGACTTTACCGCATAATCACGCTTTCAACTTTAAACTGCTTCCGTGTTCTACTTTGCCAGCTTTTAACCAATAGCGTCTCTGCAACAAAGTGATGTCATTCCACATGCATTGCTGTTTCTGTGTGAAGTCATGAAAGAGGTCTAACTCTGTGCCACCGCTTAACTATCGATGTGTTATAAAATAATGAGAAGAGAATATATATATATATATATATATATATATATATATATATATATATATGTATGTATGCACATATATATATATATATATATATATATATATATATATATATATATATATATATATATATATATATATAAAAGCATATATATATATATATATAAAAGCATATATATATATATATATATATATATGCTTATATATATCATGTCAAAACCTTGATGTGGAAGTAGGGTTAATAAGAATTCTAAATATGTATAGCCTCATTCACACTATACGAGCGACTCGCAGCAGCAAAGCAACAAGCGACTGTTCATTTCAACAAAGATTGAGCGACTTCGGATGTTGGGCATGTCTAACGACGTGACATAGTTGAGAATTCTTCAACTTAATGCAAATGAAGAGCGACTTTCTTGAGTGACAGCCAATAGGAGCACAAGTAGAGCTCATGTAATCCTCTCTCAGCTCGCTCAGAGCCCGGTTGTATTCTCCGTGCTGTAGACCTACACAGACCCGCGTTTGCAGCAGGTCATCACCCAGAGAAACAAACAGCTAAAGTCGCTGCTAGTGTGAACGAGGCATATGCGTGGCACATTTCTATATGATTATTCATAGATTTCATGAAAATGGAGAACAAGTCGGTATTGACTGGACACTTCTGTGTGTGTGAAAGTGTGTGTTGGTAGGGTGGGGTGCGTTCAAGGGTCAGCAGGAGGATGAAAGAGAGGTCTAGTCTGTATGTAACAACATGACTTTGCTTTGCAAGATGAAGAGTCCCTAAAGCTGAAAATATAGAGTAGACAGAAAATGTCTGCTGATATGGAAAGCATGACATGATTAAGACACATGAAATATGAATTCCTTCCTTTTATTGTTTGAAGAAGCCTTACAAAGACATCATGAGTTTTTATGAAATCAATTCGCACACAGGCTCAGACGTATTCAGATGTGCTGCAAATGTGGGCAGTACAAGTTAAAATCTAGCTCACAACATGTTCTGATCACGTCCTCTTTGAACTGGCCTATAAATAATAAAAATGACCTAAAAACTCTCACTTTTCGCTCTTTCTCTCTTCTTGGCTTGATGTAGGTCAGAAAAGCCATTTGAAACGTCATGTTATCACATTTTTTGTGGATTAGTCTGTTGCGTCACTAATGGCAGATTTTGGTCTGTTCCCCACACTCAATACTCCCAGATGTGTTCATTTTACCGCCCCCTGCTGGTAAGAATGAAGAATATAATGAGCCTTCCATATCATTACTTGTATTCATATCCAACTGTCTAGCTTCAGGCTTCTTCGCTGATGTTTTAGAAAGCTCATATATCATTTATAATAGTAAAGAAAGCAATTTTTAATTAACCAAAACCCTTTAATACTTTGTTTTACTTACACTGTTTGTGCTGCAAACAATGAAACATAAATGCCTATCATGAATGCATTTTTGAGATTTAAATGAGGTTTTATTTATTTATTTTTAAGCAATCAGCCTGAATATTTCTTCACTGCTAGGAAATTTAAGAAAAAAAAGAATTCTAGAGGCTTTGGGACAATGTGGAACAGCCGAATAAAGCCCGATTATCCTAGAAACACAAGCAAACCGCCTTACCAACCATAAAACACTACCCTGGCAACCATCAGTGACATCTTAGCTTTTTGTTGTTGGAAAAGAAAAACTGAAACTGTAAATTTGTACATAAAATAATACATTTTAAAATGTATTAAAGACACAATTCAAAAAACAATAAAGAGTTTTAAACCATTTTTTCCCTGTTGAACACAAAAGTTATTTTGAAAATTTTGGAAACTGAAACTACTGACCTCCATTATATTTTTTTCCTCGAAGGATGTCAATGGTTACAAGTTTCCAATATTTTTCCAAAGAAATTATTTTTTGTTTAAGTGAAGAAAAAAAACTCAAACTGGTTTAGAACAAGTCAAGAGTGTGTAAATGATGGCATAATTTATTTATTTTTTAAACTAAACCCTTTAAACTTTTCAGTTGTGTGAAATATGCTAATTATTTTCTCTCTGTTTTGTGTTTTTTTCTCTCTCCTGCAGCTGAACTGGAGTTTGTTCAGATAATAATCATAATTGTGGTGATGACTGTAATGGTAGTTGTGATCATCTGTTTGCTAAACCACTATCGGCTGTCGGCTTGGGCCTTCCTGACACGCCACAGCCAGGCCCGTCGACGAGAAGAGGGCATGCAGCCGGTAAGTGTGTGTGTGTGTGTGTGTGTGTTTTATTCAGAGTGGGTGTTCGTTTGATTCTCCAGTCACCATGTGTGTCCTGTCTGTGTGAGCTCCGAGTGGGTGTAGAGTTCCTGTTCTTTTGTTTGATCACCATGTGTGTGACTTTGTGACCGTGTTCATATGGGACTCGGCAATGTGCGTGCCAGCTTCAGGGTCTTTGTGTCGGTACACCTGCACAAATGCATTATGCAGCTCCTTGGGATGGGTCTACCGGTTTCATTAGTGAGGTTGGCTTGTTCTTTTAATAACGCTAGACTATGCTTTAATAGGTTGGAGACATTCATGTTTCATTAGAGGGATAATGAAAATTACCTTAATTTACTACACAGCCAATATGTAGGTGGCTTTAAAACATTTTTTGCTAAACTGTGGTACTTGGTGGTTCGTAAAATGTAAGTCAAGGCAAAACCAAATGAATAATCATGGCTCCTAATAATACATTGAGGTCTCATGAAGCAAAATGTTTAGTTTGTAACAAAAAACTAAATTGAACATAAATAAATTCAAACAAACTCACGTTTATGTATACAGGCAATTTTGTAACCACTGTTAAAAAGAGTAATAGATTCCAAATTACTGATTACAACTGGAAAATTGTAATCTGATTACATTACTAATTATTTCATGTAAAAAGTAATCAGATTACTAATTACTTTAGTTTAAAGCTACTTTTAAAACATATAAAATATACCTATAAAAATACCAAATAAACTGCAGATCTTTCAGTAGTTTGATATTTACTGAAAAACATTACAGCGGGTTGATCACAGCAGCTTGACATATTCAAAAGAATTCGCCCAAACGTATCAGAATATACCTTCACTCCCGATCCTGCACAATAAATTTTTATTTAGCCTGTTTAGGCTGAGGTGGGCCACCGTGTTTTTTGGTGCCATTGTCCTCCTTGGTGATGAGTTTTGTCGTAGAATCCTTTCTATTCATGTGGTTGAACAAGTTGCTGGTCGAGTTTAAAGCAGTTGAAAGTTTTTTAGACTGCATTTCAAAGCAATATTTTTGTTTTTACGCTTAATGAAATGGAAGTAATCGTCTGTATGTACACTTGAAGAAGCAACCACTCTTGACAGAAACCATTTCAGCTCATGTTCTCCAGCTTTTTTAAAGTGCATGCTTATTAACTGACAATGCAGCAGAAAACGTCATTTAAAAGAAGCATTTTTTTCTTCCAAAAGCTATTTTTGTTAAACGCAAACAAATTGACTTTAGTAACTGTAATCAAATTACACAAATTTAAAATGTAATTCGTTACTTTACCGCGTTCCTCAAAAATGTAATTAGAATACAGTAAAGCGTTACTGTGGAACGCGTTGCACCCAATGCTTTTTGTAAAATTACATATTTTTTTCATTTTTTAAAGCGTTCATGATGCAGAAAGTGCATTTCTAAATCATATAAAGTAAATAAACAACATAATTTGTGGCATAATGTTTTACCTGCTTACATAAAATATGAGAAACCATACAAATATATATCAGGAGTTCTTAAAGGAACACTCAAATTTTTTTAAATGGTCTTAATTTGCAACTCCCTTTGAGTTAAATAATTTAGTTTAACAAATTTTAAATCCATTCAGCCGTTGTCTGGCCCTGGTGGGAGAACTTCTTTCCGGATTAGACCATTATCATGTTGCTAAAAAAAATATAAAAAATGGCGCACAAATTCTTAATTTCAGTCAGCCAGCCCCAGGGTTCCCGTTTATTGTCTTCCCAAACAAAATCGCAGTGTTTAAGATCTGATTTCTTTAAAAAACTGCAATCTTCACTACCAGGCTGAGATACGATATAAAAGTGGGTAACTTGACCAAACAAGATGCACTGCATTCAATTCTATTTTTCCGCACCATGTCTTTAAAATATGGAAATTTATTTAATCACAGTATTTTTAATGGAACTACTGCGGCTAATGACGCCGCCTGTGTTTAAACTGTCTTTCGTCTTTTTTTATGCTTTAACAACTAAATGGATGCATAAGTCTATTTAACTGATTGTTTTTTAATTACCTTACAACATCAATGCTGTAAAAGGAACCTTTTGATATTGAAGAGTCACATAAAGCTTTCACCAGAAGATCATCATTGGTTGAAAAACAGTAGCTGTGCATATAGCCCATTGAAGCTTGTCTCTTCTGTTGTTACATTTGTGTACAAAGACCGACGTAAGATAAAAAGTTGCTATTTTCTTGCTCAATATAGCTACTATTCTCTCATTCTGGCGTAATAATTTGGGAAATTTACTGCACTCATAGCTGCAGTAGATGCAATATTACACAGCGCTTTTTTTTAGTTACCCAGCTGGGGACTATTTTTGTGTGCTGTGTGATATCATTGCGCCTGCTGCGACAATGGTAGCAATTTTTTTTTAAATTTCTGTCAGTCTTACTACACGATGCAACTAAAAAAGTGTCAAGTTTTAAATGGGAAACTTGTTAAAAGTGTTTTTGGAAATGTTTGAGTTTTAATTCAATGATATATGCTTAGTTAAAGCTAAAAGTGATTTCGTCAGACACAGTGATTAACTGAGTGAATTCAAAAATGCTACAACTCAACTGTTTAACTCTAGGTGACATGTCAAATAAGCCTATTAACAAAATAAAATGGAGTTTCGCATTAAATTATTCTAAAAAAAAAAAAAGACATTATACAATCATTTATTCATGTATATGTGTTTTCTTATACATTTAAAGTGCTTGTTAGGACCGGGCGCTATGGCAAAAATGCAATCTTGATAATTATTTTCCATATTGAATGATACTGATATACGTTCCAATATATTTGTTAACCCTAAGAGTACCCCAACAATGATTGAAGCAAAAATTAGAAGGTCATTTAAATGGCATAACATTTTCGGCTGAAAATTTTTTGGTGTGCGAAAATTCGGTACATTTCTAACATTAACACACTTTTTGAGTCCCGTTGTTGCACATTTCTGCTGTGTGATTGGCTCTTAGATCAATAAAGAGTAAAAAAAAAAGTCCAGAGCTTATCATTGTTATTGGCAACTTTTATAACGATTCAATATGATATCGTTTATCGGCACAGACCTAGTGCTGGTAACCACTAAATTTATATTATGAATCCATTTGAAGTAATATGTCACTGTAAATACAAACTAGGATCTCAGGCAACCCAAAGATTAAATTATGCACATTCCTGAATCTCTTTTATGTTCGTTTTCAGCCTGTGGTTGAAATAACTGAGACATGCTTGTCTAGACTGCAGTCCATTTTAGCTCTCAGCTTGAGAAGGAGTCATAAAAAGATAGGAAGACGGTGAAGATGTGATTTAGCAACTGATGCGGAGCATGAAAGCCACCAAGCTCTTAAATTCAGAAACAAGCTCGTAAATTTGGAGAACAACACATTTTCTACAGCTGCATTTTTGGAGGTCGTGAGACTAAGAAGCAGTCCTGAATTAATAATGCATGGTATTAATGTATTCTCATATTTACGGCATGCACATTTAGATCAACTATTCTGATGCCTCTAGCTTTTCTTTTCAGACTCGTACTGTAATGCATCAGATGAAGCTGATTTTATGTGTTGCCTTTAATGCATGACTAACATTGGCGTTCCCTCTTTGTATCTCACTAGGATGGCTGTGCATGGCCTACAGATAGTTTGGTGACGCAGCAAGGAGCCACTGAGGTTAGTTAACTCAGTCAACTGACACAACACATTCAATCTGTCAGCAAAATATTACTAATTGCTTTAATGTTTTGTCATCATATTTATAGCTGGGCAAAATACCCAAGAGCTCAAACATTGTAACATTTGCGTCAGTATATTGAAATATTTATGATTTTGCTCAGATATTATTAGATTGTTTGTGTATAAATGGTCATTTTTAAATAAATGGTACACAGTAAGAAAAAGCCATGATTATCCATGTGTAATATCACTATATTTAATCTATTGTTTAAAAAAAGGAACTAATTTTAATAAAATGAATACAGCAGAGATGCATTACATTGATCCAGTTACATTTATAACTTTTTTTTTTTTCAAATATGCTGCTCCGTTTGAATTTTCAGTTCATCAATCTTGAACACAAAATAAATCATGAATTCCACTAAATATGAAGCAGAACAACTGTGTTTTAACATTGACAGTTGTGATAAATGTTTATTGAGCAACATATAATTTTGGATCATGTGACAATGAAGACTGGAGCTGAAAAATGCAACATCACAGGAATTGAATGTGTTCAAAAAGAAACGTTTTATTTTAATATGTATATTTTTTAATTGTAACAATTTACAATATGATTTATTGTTAACTTGTAAAAAAAAGTGCTGTATATTGTGCTGCATGTTGCTTGCATAATTAACTGTATTAATTTAATCTTCAGCTTCAAGTTGACCCTCTAGTTTTTCACGTTTTATTTTGTGATTTTTTTTTTTTTTTTTTTTTTGCGAAAAAAGACAGATTTTGTGACAGTAGTTCCCAGAAATTTGCGGATAACTCTGCGATTTAAAATATGTATGTAAAAAATTATATATATATATATATATATATATATATATATATATATATATATATATATATATATATATATATACACCATATTAGGTAGCCTTCAATGTTAGTCTTCAATGGCAAGGAAGCGCTTTCTTTCGTTAACTGCAGGGAAAGAGTTAAAATGAAATCCTTTATCGATTTGATGCACATCATAATACCAAGCCATACATGTAAAGGCCAGATCCAGCAGCCATCATCCGTGAACCAATCTCCATGTCTCTTCCACTGCTCCATTTGTTAGATGTTTGCTCCAAACTTTCCATCTTTGCTCCACAAAATGCCTAGTTCGTGGCACAGGGTGTCTATATTTCTTCTTTGCAATGACTTTACATGTTAATCACTCACGCTTCATCCGCATCTGCTTACTGCACATAGAAACCCCCCCCCCCCTCCATTCCATTCTATTTGATGATAGTGAGGGCGCAGGTGAGAGACACTCAAATACATCACGTGATCAAGTCATGTAAAACAATTATTTTCAAACTGAAATAAATTTAATTTGATTCTATGGTTTGGAATTGCATAGTTTATGAGATTATTTAAATTTTTGGCGAATATTTTGAGTTTAAATAAAGAATTTAGCAGGATTGCAAAAATTTTCGTCATTTTGTTGATATTGCGTTGGATTCAGCGATCGTAGAATCGTAAAAAACTAGGGGGCCTGGCTTGTATAATTAACTGAATGAAAATAACGCAGCATAATTCTTTGTGCATTTTATGTTTTCAATTCTAAAAGTTGACCTATTTTCTGCTCCATGTTCAGGTGATGTATGGGCCAAGGAGCGGAGAGCGCTTCAACCCACCTTCATTTATGCAAAGGGACCGATTCAGCCGCTTCCAGCCCACCTACCCATACCTGCAGCAGGACATCCACTTGCCGCCCACCATCTGCCTTTCAGATGGCGAGGAGCTGCCGCCCTACAAGGGCCCCTGTACGCTGCAGCTCAGAGACCCCGAGCAGCAGCTGGAGCTGAGCCGTGCATCCGTGCGCGCGCCTCCAAACCGGACCATTTTCGACAGCGACCTGATAGACGTTTACGTGCACGGAGGCGGGCCGCGGCCCCCGAGCAGCAACTCTGGCAAGAGTGCCTCGAACTCGCACGTGGAGGGACCGCCACCTACCTATAGTGAGGTGATGGGTCAGACTTATCCAGGCTCCGCCTCCTTCCTGCACCAGCACAGCAATAACGCACCACCCTCCAATCAGAGGACAGCCAGCCGCTCCGGCCAGCCTGGCGCAAGCACAACCCTGTTCGTCAAGGTTAAGGATAGTCGGCGCGACAAACCCGTGTGACTAGGAGGCACTAGAGGGCAGTAGAGAGCGCGTGTCGTCATCTGCGCTCTCTGGTACTTCCTCCTGGACCTAAAGGGGGAGTGGCTTCACGGTTAGACCACTCCCCTTGCACAATTTAAATCGAAGAAATTGAGGAACCAAGCTTACAAAGTTTATTTTTTTGTATGTTTTTTTTTTTTTTTTGCTAGAACTTCGGGGCCTTGTATGGATGTTTGGGCTCCTCGGCTAAAGCTCTTTGTTTGGTTTTTGTATGCTTTCCTGTATTTAAAACAAAACACGTGTGTTGGCACAGATTGTTTGCGTGAGAGACCACATGGGTCATAGGATTGAGAAATTTTGTATTCGTTTTTTTGTTCATTTCCAGGACTTGTGCACAGAAACTGTTCACAACCAATCAAAATCCAAATTGAGTGCCATGATATAATCTTAATCTTGGGGATGTGCGACTCACAACTACAACAGCAAGTCTTTACGTTGCACTTATTCTGGTTAAAGAGAGGGTAAAAACGGCTATCCTTGGTTACTTTTGTTCTCCGTCAATCCACAGGTCTTTGCCTGTTCCTGGGAATTCTTTCCTTCCTTTTTACATTTTCCGAATATCTCGTTTTCCTGAAATGGAGATGAAGAACTCTGATCCAGCCTAAAGTCTCCACAACTGAACTGCGTCATGGCACTTATTATGATTAATGTTTTCACAAAGGGGCTTTAACAAGCTGTTCAAATTCCAGATTACTTCTTTTTATGTTCGTTCCACTGACCAAGTGAGAGATCATGGCATGGATATCTGCAGATGGAAGTCACGACACACACGCCACTTTCATCCTGTCGAGTAGCACTTTAAACTAAAGTCACTTCAGCATTGTCAATGGGGTCCAAGTGCAAGGGAATCATGGGAACTGTAGTCTTATGCACATCCTATCCCCTTCTGATCTCATACCGCAAACATGCATGTTACCCCCCCCCCCCCAGTTATCCATCCTATATTTTAATTTACAATCATATATGGATCTCGTATTTTATTTATCCCTTTACTCTCCTGTGCGCCGTTTTATTCCAAGGCTGCTCAGGAGCACACCAGTATTTAACGTGTACCAATCATGACGTGGTGCGTCCCCTATTCCTTCATTTATTTCAAGTTGTATTCAATCATCACCACATGGCACGCATTTGGAATGCTTTTCAGACATGCTGATTGTGTCGTTGTTTGTTTATTTTTGTGATCACGTCTGAGCTTTGTAAACCACCAGTCTTTGGCCTTCCCTTAGAAAGTTCCATAGAAAACCTATTTATTAACTAGCTATTTATTAAAGCGACCAGTTTGAGAGGATATATAGTCAGAGTAGGTGGGAGTTTAAAGCCCCCATCCTCTAAATAGGCTTTTTTTGGTGACCTTTTTTTCCTCCTTTAATAGTGTGATTTTTCTAGCGCTCATCCGCTTTGGCTTCAAAACGGCCTCTTGTCATTGGCTCTGCTTCCCGTCACTCATTCTGACCGCGCAGTTTGAGTTCGTACTGTATTGCTGCTGCTACGCGCTGCTACCGCCGCTACTGCTGCTGTTGTTTGTTTGGTATGTAGGTTGTCAGCTTCCTCCTGACTTTCTTTCCGCTAATCAACCGAGACCTAGACAGTCTGTCCTCTGTTTTCTTCGTTCAGATTAGCTGTCCTAGCGCTAGGAAGACGAATCCAAATGTATTTCTTACGTTCGCAGCCGAGAGGTTGGCATGTTCTTCTTTACATGAGCAAAATTCGGTGCCTAACAGTCATGTTTAAGCAGACATAGAAACCCACTTGCACTCAAAAGTCCCCACCTTTGTTGTGCCTCACTTCCTATGGTGCTTCTTTCAGTAGTCGGACTCTGTTTATTTGTACGGTGCTGTATATAACTTGAATATATTATGCACATATCCTACCCAATGGGTAGAACAACCACAAGAAAGCATTGTTAATACTGTAATATAATGTATAGATAATATTAAAAAGAAAACTTTAACACGGTGGCATCAAGTTTTGTGAATGCCTTCAATTGTGCTTTGTCTTTTTTGTAAAACAGAGTAAAGTTTGCAAAGAGAAACGCTACAGTATGGTCACAGAAATACAAAAGACTTCTTATATATTTTTTTTCCTATACAGTAAATGCAAAATCTGTTATGTGATGAAGCGAATATTCTGATTAATATGAGGCAGTTGTTATATAAAGGAGAACTAGCTGCTGCTTTTGTAACTTCCACACAAAGAATTATTAACGCCAGCGCTTGTCATTTTATTTATTGACGTTTATTTTGTGACTGCTAGCTGTTTGGACCGCCTAATAACCATGAAAATAACACAATTTTCCGTACCGTCAAGCGCTTTTGGGCTCCCACGAGGCCTTTTCCCGAAGGTTTGGTGGTTGATATGAAAACCGCAGCTCAGGGTGAGGGTTTATTGGATCGGCGGGGAACGGTTAACATTCTCTTGTCTCTTTTGTTATGCACATAATCGACTTGTGTGGGATATAAAAGAGCATCAAATGCATACATGAGGAAACGCCAGCCCATCGCTGATTGTTACTGCATGTTCATGTTGTCATTTTCCTCGACGTAGCAGTTTGGTTCCGAGCTCTTCGCTTCTCTTGAAAACACTCGCTGCACACGCTTGAATGGACGAATAAACGAGCGCCAATGAATGACTGACTGACTGACGACTTGTGTGGGGAGTATAGCATCTCGTTACATGGATCTGGAAGGTTCATCGTTGGCCTCGAGCGAGATCACATCGCAGGACTGTACGACCTATTGTGGACTACAAACCTTTTTTTTTTTAGCAGGAAAAAAACAACAACGGTGGAGCGAGCGAGGAACGCTGCTGTCCTTACGCCTTTTTTTTATTGTTCTATTTAATTGTGATGTCAGCGGTTTTCAGTTTGAGGTCTGTTAATTGCAATACTTTTACAGGAAAAAGGTGACTTAAAACTATTTTAAAAAATGCATAAAAATAAATACAAGAATTAAAAAAAAAAAACAATAAAACTATTGCTTAAAGATACTGTTGTAGTCCCTCATGAAACGATTCCACGCTTGTTCTTTCGCTGTCATCAAATGGCCAGAGAGAGCAATTAAAGTTGAGGAAAAGAACCAGACAATGAGTCTCTTTTGTGCTTTGTGTTTGTCATTTGATCTTTGCTTTTAAAGGGATAGTTCACCCAAAAAATGAACACTGACTCACTATTTACGTACCCACAAATGAAGCTTATCATGCTTAATTTGCCCCCATTTTTCTATTAAATTTGAGTACATATAAGCTGCGTCCCAAATCGCATACTTATGCACTATTTTACGCCATTTTGTAGTATAAATAGTGTAAGTAGTGTGTTCACATTGAAAACTCTCAAAATAATAAGTGCACTTTAATTACCCGGATGATGCACTCATTCAGCCGCTAAAATGAAGTGTGTAATGATGGACTCTTCACGCACTCAACGACCGCAGGTTTGCTTACGTAGCGGAAGGGGCGGAGCGATCGGACGCACATGTTGGATAACGATTTATTTTGGATGGTGAAAGCAAAATTCTCCTACGAGAGTGATTATTGCGCCTCCCGATGGTAAATGCGGCAATACTCACGGCAGGTATTACTTGATAATTCAGTCGTTTATTTCACTGATTTGGCAACCGTCAAACGTCATCAGGGAAACGGTTTAAATTTCCGCTTAGTAAAAAAACATTAGTGTGCCATTTGGGACGACACTACATACATATACTATCCTGTTGAGTGTGTAAGTGCATAAGTACATAGTGCATGAGTGCATAGTGTATAGTGTGCCATTTGGGACGCAGCTATAGAGTTCAACACCCATATTTTCTCCAAAATGTTATTATACACTGTAAAACCCAACAGTCAACTTTATCAAATGAAATGAGTTTAGTTAACTCAAAACTTACTGAAAGGTAATTCTACTTATTTGAAAAGAGTTTTGAAGGTAATGACAGGGAATTCTGCAGATTTTTAGCCCATCGTTGATTCTGTTCATTTACTTGTGTAAATGTGTGTAAACTTATATTTATTCAGTTTTTAAATTAATTTAATATTAACATTAAATAAAAGTAATACATTAAAATGTAATGAAATAATAGTATTATTGACTAACATGAAAATATTCATATGATTTAATTACAATACAGTGTGTAAATTAATATTTTCTGTCTTAGTAGAAATATTACATGTGAGACTTGCTTTGTTTACCAAATAAAGTGGATCTAATTGAATTTGCTTTGTAAACATTTAATAAAAGTTAAATAGGTATTACTTTTTATTTCATATATTAAGGTTTTAGTGATACTCATACTTCCAAAATCATTCCACATAAATCTGCAGATTTTTATCACAATTTTGCGCAGAAATAGCAAAAAATGTCCGCAGAATAAGTAAGTTTACAGTACTGATTTAGATTTTAGTTTGTTTTTTTTTAACTCAAATGGTTTGTTGCAATCGGTTTCCTCAAACAGTTTGAGTTGTCTTAACTTTTTGGGTTTTACCATGCGCTTGCACTAAAAAAAGAATTTTGCTGCTTGTTCAAACTATTTATTTAAAATGAGCTGGAACAAAACACAATTCTTGAGGTTTTTTCGGACAACTTCATTGTTATATGTTCAATCCACTTGGATTTGTAAAAACTATTTGGTTAATCAACCAATGGGACAACATAAAGGTATTGTGTGTAACCCAGCATTGTTTTTTACATTGTACGATCACAATATTGATTCAAATGAGCTGAAACAATTCTTGATCTTTTTTAACAACTTAATTGTTTTTTCGCATTTCAAACATAAATTAATTATTTTAAATTATTCAATTTGTGTTAAAACTACTTTTTTTTACAGTGAAGGATACAAGTTTCAATTCTTCTTTATTTATACAGCGCTTTTACAATGGAGATTGTGTCAAAGCAGCTTAATATAGACTTTCTAGTAAATTGAATCTGTGTCAGTCCAGGTTTCAGAGCTTAAGTTGTTTAGTTCAGGGTTTAATTTTCACAGCTGAAAGTCCAAACACTGAAGAGCAAATCCATCGATGCGCAGCTCTACAAGTCCCGAAACCAGTGGCGAGGATCAAACTTCACCAATTGACAAAAGTGAAGGAAAAGAAACTCGAGAGAAACCAGGCTCTGCTGGGAACGACAATTTCTCCTCTGGACAAACTACTGTGCAGAGCTGCAGTCTAGGACGCTGGATGTCTAATGTGAAGAAGCTGCAGGTGTGAGAAGATCACCGTCTGGTGTACAGGCTGGCCCACGAGATCAGACATACAGTAGATGTTCTAGTAAATTAAATCTGTGTCAGTCCAGTTTTCAGAGTTGAATTTCAGTTCAGTGTGAATTAATTTTTACTGCTGACAAAGATGGTTTGTGATTCTTTCCATAAAAAGCTCAGCGCCAGAAAGCTTTGTGGTCAGATGTACTGACTCTACAGTGCGCAAGTGCAGTGATCAAACCTGTTATATTGTTAGAAATAAAACAGGAGAAATCTTTTTACTCTTAGGCCTCATCCACATGGCAACAGATTAGTGAATCAGCAAGTTTATTATTGTATCAGCCTTTCATTCACGACACCATGCGTTGTTGGTGCTCTGAAACAAACTTTTGCATAAAGGGTTACAATGGGGGGGGGGGGGCGCCATTGTGTCAAAACTATTATTGAAATGATCATTATTAAAAGTTTCAAACAATAAACATAAAAGTATTTTATTAAAAATGTTTATTTTTCATTTTATACGATGATAATACTGTATTTTATTAATCAAAAGATATACTATGAGTTGCATAGGTTGGCACACACGTTTTAATTAAAAATCATTTAAAATAATAACATGCAGTCACGCAGCCAAGTGTAAAGTGTTTATGTATATCAGGGGTGTCAAACGTACGGCCCACGAGCCAGATCAGGCCCACAAACAGTGTATATATATATATAAAAGAATATTTTTCAGTTTAATATTATAACTTTTGACCTCAACTGTACATCTACATCAGGGGTGTCAAACTCTCTCTCTCGCTCTCTCTCTATATATATACTTTTGATTAATGATTTTACTGGTCCGGCCCGCTTGGGAATAGATTTTCCTCCATGTGGCCCCTGACCCTGAGTTTGAGACCCCTGATGTTGAGGTCAAAAGTTATAAGATTAAACTGAAAAATATTCTTTATTTATTATTATAAGAGGGATCACGCAAAATGTATGTTTTTGTAAGGAGAGACCTCAATCTATTTCAGATAAAACCAAAAATAATATTTGGATTAAAAATTACCCTATATGACTTTAATTATAATGATTCTAAACCCTGTTAAAACTAACACATGAACAAAAAGTCAGAATATTCACATTTTTCATTCATTCATTCATTTTCTTGTTGGCTTAGACCCTTTATTAATCCGGGGTCGCCACAGAGGAATGAACCGCCAGCTTATCCAGCAAGTTTTTACGCAGCGGATGCCCTTCCAGCCGCAACCCATCTCTGGGAAACATCCACACACACATTCACACACACTTATACACTATGCACAATTTAGCCAACCCAATTCACCAGAACCGCATGTCTTTGGACTGTGGGGGAAACCAGAGCACCCGGAGGAAACCCACACGAATGCAGGGAGAACATGCAAACTCCACAGAGAAACGCCAACTGAGCTGAGGTTCCAACCAGCGACCTTCTTGCTGTGAGGCGACAGCACTACCTACTGCACCACTGCTTCAACATTTTTGGAAATGTTTATTAATCCTTTCAAAATCCATTTTCTATACATGTTTTTATAAATGTATTATGTATATTGATAAATCAGGCCTTTTCGTAAATCTTTTGTTCAAAACTATTTTAATTTAGTTACAAAAAAAGTTTAAACATAACATTTTGATAAAATAGAACATTTCAGGTAGTTAGTCTTCGTTTATTTTTTACTCTAAACATTTTTAGTCTGGCTGCTATAATCATTTAGTGAGGAAAATGAAATTGAAAAGAAATTTGGGGTGGGATGAGATGTTTTTCTTTGTGACCTAACATGCTTAGTGTAATTATACTTTTACTACATGGGCGCAGAACTTTAACCCTCATACCCCTTAGTAAATGTTGCGCCCCTCTATCAGCCACACCAAGTTCCTGAAGGGCCACAAGGACTGCACCGTTTGCATGTCTACTTTTTTGACACCCATTTCAGGTCATGTAATCTCTGCTGATAAGCTGATGATCTGAATGAGGTATGTTTGGTTTAGGAGATGTGGGAAATAAATAAAAATGAACTGTTGCCATGTGCACGAACAATGGCTGAACAAGGTGAACTTCCCTTTACAACCAAAAACACTCTTTTAGAGCCAATCTTACACTCTACCATGAGAAGTAGCCATATATTAGCTGTTTCACTCTTAATGGCGTCATCTAGATAAAATTTTTTTTTTTTTTTAATTTCCAAAATCCAGAAGCATGACTTTTGACCAAGAAATGCTCCGTTATATGTGGTAATTGTTGTAAAATGCAGTCAGCAGTGTTGACAACATCACTTAAGATGTTTGGTTAAGATGGCCGAAAACTCATCTATGATGATGTGATGATAAGATTTAATTTAGGCCTTATTCACATATGATCAGCAAATCATTTTTACAGCATTCACATTTGCTCAGGAAGCTTGCTTGATACACAAGAGCGCACATTTAAGCTTTAGAACTAACCTGCAATGCTTGTTGAGCTCTTGAGCTTGTTTATGGCAATAAAAAAAAAAAAAAAAAAAAAAAAAAAACTAAATCTGTTCATCATACAGGCCTTTGGCAGCCTGGTATAAAGGGTGGACTTTTAGGCAATTATTCGCCCCATTTTCTTTTTAATTATGAGATTTAAAAACTGCATTTTAGTGACATTTTAAGCACTATTTAGCTGGATTAGCTTGTTAGATGGTCAATATAACCCCACTTTTTGATGTACTAAAATATTTCCTAAAGAAATATATATATATATATATATATATATATATATATACATATATATACATATATATATATATATATACAGGTCCAAGATTAAGAATAAAAGTTCAATGTTTTCTCCATTTAACAGCATCAGTAGCGAAAGATGACCACATTTGTCAGAATGTGTTTT